AAATAAAAGACAACCCCATAATTGAGGAGCAGCTTCTTAGCAAAGTGGGGAAACACAAAATCAAATGATCAGCACTTTTAGCAACTCCATGTTTTCGGGTCCTTGCCTATATTGGTACCAGATTATCCCACCATTCGATTTAACTTAAGTTAAAAAAATTACACTCATCATGTCATTTAATGATAACTGATATGGTTAATGGTTGACAAGCAGATACATGGATGATTATTATTAATCCATCGTTTAGCATTAGTCTTAGTTACTTGACACAGGCGCTAGTGCAAGTGTTAGTGAATAAATTGAAGTTCAATACAAATCAGGCAAGTACAAAAGGTTTGATTACCATTGAATCACACACACTCATATTAGTGTGTGTTCATCAAACAGTGATAGAAACTGTCCGTACGAACGAATTTTCTGGGAAGTACATGGTTCGTTCTTTATTTTATTTTATTTTATTATTATTATTATTATTATTATTATTATTTTTTTTTTTTTGATAGGGAGGAACGAAAATAAAGAAGAACAAAAAGGAAAGGGAATGGGGTAGAAAAAGACACACGATCTAGATACTTTCAATGAAAGCACCAATGATGAAGATCGCGTGTCTCGATTGCCGATAAGCCACAAACGAACCAAATCATCCAAATCCTTCTCTGAATCACCCGGCACCCACCAAACCCTCACACTCTTATCCACACTCCCACTATACAACAAGAAACCACCCCCAACCCTCAATGGCCCGGCCCGCAAGCACTTAACCGGGCCTTCATGCCCTCTAATCACCAAATGCCGGCCCAAACCCCGTCCAACTTTTTCCCTCCTCCAAACACACACACTCGAATCAGCCGACCCACTGCACAAAAATCGTCCACCATCCCCCATCAAACACACACACAAAACCGCCATTTTATGCCCCTTCACTTCACAAACCACTTTCCAACTTTTCAAACCCTCATTATTACCAAACCACCCCATTATAAACCCGTCCGAACATCCTCCGTAAACGAACCTCCCGTCTTCACTCACCGCTAATGAATTCATAGACACGTCTTTACGCCCTTCTAAAATCGCCTTAACCGAATGCCCTTCATTTTTCCCTTCCTTACCCCAAACCTTAATCTTCCCATCCGCAGAACACGAGTAAACGGATCCATTTTGGGCCACGAGCCCGTTTATGGCGTCATCGTGGGCTTCAATGGACTCAATGCACCGAAAATCGGATAATCTCCAGATTTTGAGTGTTTTGTCCCACGAGCCCGAGTAGACGAGCCCGTTAGAGACGGCTAAGCAAGAAATTGTGTCCGCATGCTCGATCCACAGCCGTTTGTGGTTTCGTCTCGTTTGGACATAGTTGCTCTGTTTCATGAATTTCCCCAAATAGTCCTTTTTGGTGGGGAGGGTTTCGACGAGCTTGAAGATGTTTTCCGAGCTTTTCGAGACTTTCCAGACGCGGATTTTTGTGTCCTGGTGGGCTGTGAGGACTTTGTTGCCGTAAGTGATGAGGGCCTTGACGGAGCCCGAACCGAACCCGAATTGGGCAAATCGCCTGAGGTCGGGCTGCTGCCAGACGATGATGTCGCGGCCTTGGGAGGCGCTGAGGACGAATTCCCCGCACAGGGCTAAGCAGGAGACCGGGCCCACGTGGCCGGAGAGGACGGCGAGCTGTTTGTAGGGGCGGGGGCGGGAGAGGGAGAATGAACAAGAAAGGGGGGATCTTGGGATCTTGCTAGGGTTGAGATTGAAATTAGGGTTGAGTTTTTCGGAGAAAGGGTTTTCAAGGATTTCATCGGAGATGGAGCTGGAGCTGGTGCTGGTTCTACCGCTGCTGGTGGTGGTGGTGGTGGCCGCCGGGGAGGAGATGCAGAACGGTGGTGGGGTGGAGAGGGCGGTGGTGGAAATGGAATCTCCGATTGTGGAAGCCATTTGGAAGAAGGGAAATCGAAGGGGTTTTGATTTTGAATCTTGTTTGTGCAATAAAATATAAAATAAAATGAAATAAAAAGGAGAGCAGAGCGTCTTAGGTGTAGGGCGATGAAGTGAAGAAGAAGAAGTGGTCACGGGTTAGTTGGTGTAAAGATGAATATGAAAAAGGGGGAAGGTGCAACGGCTACCTTAGATATGAAAATTAAACCATTCAATTGTGTGCGAAGTGGCCGTTTATGAGGATTCCAGGTGCCCTTCTAATTTCTTCCTGTTTTTCTAAACACTAGGAATATCTGCACAACGGCTCATAATACTCAAGTATTGATGTCTGAAAAAAGTACTCTCAAATTTTAAACAAACATTGCCAAAATTGTAGAAAAATATTATCGAAAAAGAACTTATGCTCACAAGTGCATTTAAAAACATTGATAAAATAAATAAATTATACAGTAAAATATTGATCCCACTCAAGATTGCTAAAACATAGCTTTTATTTTTTTTAAAAATCAAAGATAATGGGTTAAACATTATTTACTTGATGTCAATTTGTCGTAAAACCAGTCACTCTTATTAATTGGTTTGCATACTATTTTTTTTTGTTTCTGTAATCAGTTTGACTACAAGAGGCCATCAATTATCTCAATTTTCAGCATGTATGGGCTCTCATCCTATTATAATGGATAGAGATATCTGTCCAAGTATGTTAAAATTTCATCTCATCATTGAAAAACAACGACTTATAATAGTTTTCTCTTAAAACCGATACGATTTCCTTTTCAAAATGGACAATATACTCGCAGTTACATAAATTATGATACACCATTTGACATGAGATGATAGGAAGTGGATGGGAGACAACAATGATAGGAATTTGGGTATGAAAAGAGAAAAGTGGTTCATCATATCCTAAGTCATTTACATTTAAGGTTAGTGTGATATTTTTCCAGATAAAAAAAAGAATTAACAACAAATAAAAAATTCAACATTATCCCCGAATTACGGAAGAATTAGTGATGAGGCCACGCCAACTAAAAGTATAGAGATAAACTTTTTCTAAAAATAAATTGGAAAAGTAAATTATCACCCCCACGAATAAAAAATCATGGCCCAAATAAATATAGAAAGCTTTTGTCAATTTAAAAGTCTTTTTATTACTTAAGTGGCATTTCAGTAATTATAAATATATATTGTTTGTTCAGAGATTTTTCACTTTTTTGTGGGCATCAGATGCAATATTTTATGAGGAATTGAATATTCCTTTTCATTTGGGCCATATAAAAAATCTACCATGCATAACTTCCCTTTATTAAGATGTAGAGGGATAATGGAAGAATTTTATTAATCATAAATACTGTAAATATAGGGATTGATTCAAACGAGGATACATATTTAAAATGAATATGTGAGACTTAATCCTAATTACTATATGGTATCAAGATGTGAGGCCAAGATTTAAGTCTTTATTTAAATAATAATTCTTTGTTTTCATTATTTTAATTATTTCAATATTATTTTGACCGATGACTTCGAGCGAGATCCGTTGGCTTCCGGCATTGGCCTGTTGACCATAGTATGCATTATGTATGAAGTAAATATGCATTCAGTATGTACTTAATATAAACTAAATATCCATTTCATATGAATTCCATATGTAATCCTTATGAACTAAATAAGCACCAAATATATTAACCAAGTATGCATTGTTTATGAAATAAATAGGTATTTCGTATTAAGCAAATATGCATCATTAATTAACTAAATATGCATCATGAACGAACAAAATATGTATCATTATATATTTAATTTAAATATTATAAATATGCACTATGGATGAACCAAATAAGCATTTCGTATGAATTAAATATGCACCATGAATTAAATAAAGATGTATCATTATATATTTAGTTTAATAATAACAAATATGCATTTCGTATTAACTAAATATGCATCATTATATATTTAATTTAAATATAACAAATATGCACTATGGATGAACTAAATATGCATTTCGTATGAACTAAATATCCATCATTATATATTTAATTTGAATATAACAAATATACATTTCATATTAATTAAATATACATCATAAATGAACTAAATATGTATCATTATATATTTAACTTTAATATAACAAATATGCACTATGAATGAACTAAATATGCATTTCGTATGAACTAACATGCATCATGAATTGACTAAATATGCATCATGTATATACTTAATTTAAATATAACAAATATGCAATATGGATGAACTAAATATGTATTTTATATGAGCTCAATATGCATCACGAATGAACTCAATATGCACCATGTATATATTTAATTTAAACATAATAAATATACACTACGGATGAACTAAATATGCACTTATTATGAACTAAATATGCATCGAGAATATGCATAATGTTATCTTTAATTTAAAATGTTTCGGGTGGTGGAGGCGAGTATCATGGAGCTGCTGGTGAAGATGATGTTGGGTGGTGCGTGCCGGTCGCCTTGTTGCTATCGACATAGGTCGGGTTCACTGAAGAATTACGCCGACAGCTAGTTAGAAAGTCGCGTCGTGTTATATGCGAGAAAGAGAGAGATATTGAAGGTCGAACGATCACACTTAGCAACGACGGGGTGGGGCAGGTGGCGGTGAGTGTGAAGGAGGAACAGGAGAAGAGGTTGGGAGATATTGAGTTGGAGATGGGTGCTTCCTTTGAGGATTTGATAAGTCTCAAGAACTTAATTGCAACTTTAATATACTACAATTTAGTTCATAGGTTGAATATGTAATTTATAAAAAAAATACTAAAGGCACAATAAGAGTAAATCAAGTGCAGAATAGCATGTGTATATATACATTAAAAATTTAAAAAATTACTAAAATAACAACGCGTTACAGAATGCATAATATTGTTCATCAGTTAGTTCGATCGAACCGACTGACCGAAATGTAAAAACTAAAATAACAGAATCGAACTTTTAGAAAAAACTTGGCATAAACTGCTACTGCTAGAAAGTCATATTTTTGTTCATGTTATTTTTTTAAAGAATAATTTCAATATGAATGTATGCATGGTTATTTTAAAAAGTAGCATTGTCTAACAACTCTTAAAAGGTTAAAATAACTTGGCAGCCAAAAGAATCAACTCTCATAATGCAATACATTGTTCCAAGAATACTACCCGAGGAGCCAAGCCCTTCCTTCTAGAGACGTTAAGACTATTCAGCCGTCATATACTTTCCATCTAATAAATAATAATTAGACATTTAGACCTAACATAGTCCTACTTCCAGTCACAGCCTGAAAGTTCTTACTATCATTTCAACCTTCAGAATCACTCAAGTGTTCGGTTCAGCAGTTGAGAGTCGAACATGGTACATTGAAGTACAAAATAAAATCATATGATCTGTTCACTTTTCTATGACGCGGATTCAGGAAGTACAACACGATTTACAAATAGTTGCAATATACGTTCATTTGCCCGAACAGAGTTCCAACCTTACACATTTACCTCATTTAAGGCTGAAACCATCAACACATTGTACTAAGTCTTCTTTTTCCATTTTTCCCGTTACTTTATCAAATTTCGCCTTCATTTTCTGCCAAGAAAAGTTTGTAGCTATGATTTCATCCCCTGCTTCCCATTGTACGCACTCTATCAATAATCATTTGCCGACCTGTTAAATCTTCTTCATAACCAACAACCTGCAGTTAATCAGATAAATTAAGATACAGAATCAGACATACGTGCAGAGATCGGGTAAATCCTCACTTCAGCAAAAAATTGAGATAGTCAAGCTACATGATCAAATTCCTGTTGAATAAAAGAAGATAGCACAAATCATGAAATATGTTATATGTAAAAAGATGAAACCTGAGAATCAGTTTGCGTCTCACTAAATCCATCATAAGGGTTCGTTGCTGAAGCCACGGCAGACGGTAAATCATCCCTTTTTTCTACCCTGAGATGAAATATCTCATCAGTAGTTTGCAGAATATTATTAACCACAAACGAAAAACCTTTACATATGTATAGCTAGGACAGGGATTTGGTTACGAAAACAATTTCGAACAACTATATCAAGGTTGGCTCAGAGATTTGGTGCTCTAATGACCTTGTTTAGTACTTCGATTTACATTAAGGCTAAAGGGCATACAGTGGGTTCTAAACCTAGTCAATGGAACCACATGAGAGAGTCAAGCATTATCATTCATATGGATGCATTAAGAATGTCGTATGTTTGAAAAGTGATTGTTCCTTTGGAAGTTGACCAAATACGTACCATCTTATACTCCCATTTCACAAACCAAACGTTCTAGATTGAAATAACTAGAATTCCATCCAGTCTGTCCCGTACCATTCCCCAGTAACTTTGTCTATGATTTGATTAATGGAGCATGTTTCACCATGCAAAGCTAAAGAACTACGGAGAAGTTTGGGGAAAAAATGACTCCCAAAATATGTGGCTGTTGTCACTTTTCTCCTAATGTTTCGAAGTTGTGAGATTCAATACCAGAGTACAGGGAATTGACAAATTGCTTCATGACGTTTCAAATGCTAACAAGAAAATTACAACTCAATTAGTGACGGAATTTGAATCGAATTGTAAAATTGATTTGACTTTTGACACTCATGATAAGATGAACAAAATGATATGAATTTATCAATTCTGGATAAGTGGTTCGTCGATAATCGACCGCCTAAGAGGGCGGTCGACACTTATGCATAGGAACAACTTCATTACTGATATTTCAGTGACTAAAATATCTTATTTTCAATCAGGAGAATTCTTTTGAAAGCTTGCGAACGAGTTTTCTAGTAAAATAGGCCATATGCAAATCGGGATTTCATCAGTAGCACAAACAATACATATTTCTCAGTTTTGTCTAGCTACTGGCAAGAATCGAGTTACGGATTATCTACCTCATTTGAAAACTCATGTTGCAAGTTTTCTTAACACCACCTCCTGATTAAAAATCTGTTATCTTGGTCATCGAACAAAAAAATAAATAAATCCTATGCACGTGTTGCTGACCATATTCATCGAAGATTACCTATGAACCATTAATCTGAAATTGACTTATCAAAAATAATTCTGTTCATCTTATCATAGATTTCAAAAGCCCTATCAATATTTTAATTCAATTCAAAATATATTGTTAATTAGGTTAGAATGTTTTAAGTTATTTTAAAACTTCAAGAGACAAATTGTAGATTTCGTATAATTCGGAATGGAACCTGAAAACTTTTAAACATAAGGAGACAAAGTGACAAAAAACTGATTACTTGGGCGGTAAAAAAAATTCCAAGAAAATATCAAAAGAAAAATAAAAAAATAAAAAAACACAGTATGATATGACACCATGTTCACCTGTTCAACCACAGCTTGGATGGCCCTAAGATAGACTGTTGATCGTCATGCCTTTGTCCAATTGTAGAATTAGGAAACATAAACTGCTGGTGATTAAGAAAAACTTCAGTAAAGACAAATTGTTAAAAAAGGGTTAAATACAAAATGATTATGAGGATACATTTTCACAGGAGCCACTTGCCTCCTGAGACTTCCGATCTTGTTCGATCTGAACACAGACACCAGTTAAAACATGGTTTAAGATCATTAACATTGATAATGAGAGAGATCAGAAAATTAACCTTGCTAGTTTGCTCCAACAGATCTTCTATAGCCGCAGCAACATCAGGAACTATAGAAACTTTCTCTGCAATCTCAGTTACATTGCTTTCTGTAGGACTCTTCAAACTGAGAGAATTATCAGTTGTGGAGTCGAAAGACGGAGGACACTTTATCCTATCATTTTCCACAACTCTTGCCCGCTTACTACCACTGGAATTTTCTTCATCTCTCTCTTGACACTCTGTTGAGGCAACTTTTTGTATACTTCTGAGATCCTGTAATGGATTAAGATGCTGGGAGGTATCTGAAGTCATCCTAACGGACTGTGCAGAATACTGACTAACAGAACACAATTCCACGTGCCGATCTTGAGAGATAAGCTCTTTAGGGTGAAATCTCTCCAAGTCAACAATTTTGTTCTGTCTCGGCATAAGCAGCAGCCAAGTTTAGGCAAAACTAAAACAAAAGATAAAATATAAACAATGCAGTGCTCAGAAAGGTTGTGGGAAAAGAGAACACCTGTGCGGTACATTCAAATATCCACTCGGCTGTAACTACGTGTATCCCCCATCTACAAGCAGCTTCGTATTTATCACCATCAGCAAACTTACAAAGTAGATGACTGACTTTCTTGGTCAGTTTTTCGATGAACTTCGCTCCAAGAACATAGCACAGATTTCTTAGTAGTTGCCTTTCTTTTGTGTCATAGCGCGAAACACAGATCCGATATTTTTCAAATCCAGGTAAAGGAATATGGCATGAAAGTGGAGAGTAGAGAATGTGACTACTAACATCCAACAAACAACCATCCTGCAAAAAATAAGTCCAAACTCCATTAGCAGTCAAAATTCCAACATGTTTGATGGAGTTGAAGAACAAATGATACTTTGGAAATTTTTTAGGGCATTAATAAAACCCCAACATGTTTTTAGGGCATTAAGAAGCATTAAAGGCCTTACATGTGGAATAGACAGATAGGTAGTAGCATCTCCGAGCTAATTATAAGCTCATAAGTGAAGTGCTAAATCATAAGAATGCTAGGTGAAGATATAAGAAACCCCAAATTTAGGTTGTTTACTTGTTTGGTAGCAAAAAGATGGGTACGCATTCTTGTAATGGAATTTGGCAAGCATACCAATCCTCATCTCATTAGACATAGAGAATGTGAAATGATGTTTCATGCACTCCATTCAGAGTAGCCACAAAAGAAAGATGTTTATTATCCTCCTATATATAATTCCCAAATGCATTGAGCCTTAGTGGCAGCTTCGCACGCTTCAGAATCCTATGTGGCAAAAAACAATGCTTCTCAACTAGGCTTGAATATAAATTAATATTTTTTACGCAAAAATAAATAGGTTTTGATTGCATTAAATATCTATATAATACTCCCTCCTATTCATAATAAGTGTCGTTTTGAGAAGTTGCACAGTAATTAAGATTTATTTTTTTTCCAATAACCCAAGATAGAGATGAATGTTTTGAGAAAAGATGAAGAGTGAATATGAAAAGACGTAGTGCATTTATTAGCTAAATGAGGATAATAATGGAAAAATATGTACAAAAGATCTAAAACGTCATTTATTTAGTTAATTGTTGATAAAGCCAAAATGACATTTAAAAAAATAGGAGGTAGTATATAATTCGCATTAAATTTGTGATTGATCTCTTCCTTATTTTCTTCTACAATTAGTTAACTATTTTACGCTTCTTTTTCCTCCATTAGCATATATTATATTTCTTTTCATTATTTAATTCATACATCAATTACTATAAATGTGTCTTCTTTTTCTTTAAAATTTTTTAACTTTTTTGTTTGTATATTAATTTTTATATATGATATATCAAATTAATTATCTTTTAACGATCTTCGATTTAGCATTCATAATACATATAGAAAATACAAAAGAGTGATATATATCCTTATCAATAAATTTAAATTTATTTATCAAACTAAATTAAAAAATATCAAATAAAACTATAAATTATCTTATAAAGCAATAGAAATTGATTTATATTATCATTCGTAAAATAGTTATTTTAATTGTAAAAATATATATAAATTAAGTATGAACATAAAATAATTTTAAAGAAATATTCAAACATTTATGTCTCAACTTAAATAAAGACTATAGGTTGAACATTATAATGATAAAAAAAAAAAATCTTAATGAACATTATAATTAAAAATAATAAAAATAATTATATATAAAATATAATCAAACTAGGAAAAATTTTAAATTAATTCAAAATCAAATTAATGAGTTCCAAAATATATATATATATATATATGTGTGTGTGTGTGTGGGTGTGCGAGAGAGAGAGAGATTAAAAAAAATCATTTTGAAAAACTGAGTGTAAAATAATACATGTATTATTTTAAATAATTAACTTTGTTAATTATTTAATTATTAGTTGTATAATTAATTTTTTATCATTCTATGATAAGAACATAAATTCCTTTACTTATTTTTTTTCATGCAAATATTTTATTTTAAGGCACCCGTGTTGTTCATGTGCGTTATTATATTAATAGATAAATTATTCTATTTAATTTTGACAAACATGAATATATCATAAACAATACAAAAAATACTTCATACAAAATATTTTCTAGAATTCGAAATACTATTACAAATTCTTTTACTTTCTTATTAATTATTTATAATTTTATTTCACAATAAGAATTTTATTTCTTTTTCATTCATTGTTGCACTTAATTTTTTAATCAAAAACCTGGGACATTCACAGGCGTTGTACTAGTTTACCAATAAAACATAATCTTATATGTAATCATATAGTACTAGAGCAAAAATAATGACGCAGATGGTCACAAGTTCAATTTAAATCTATTCCAGTATTTGTAACTTCAAATAAATTCCCTTGAAGTTATGAGTCTTGTGAGGTATATCCAGGCTAATAAGTTCCATGATAAGACAACCATCATATTTGTTTTCTTTAATTAGGGAAATTTCTAGACAAATCACTTATGCAATCAACGGACTGATCTGGCTCCGTAGGAGTCACTCAGAGCCAAAATAATCCATGACGACTATAATGTAAGTTTTCGTATAAGATAGTTTCTGCGTAAAAAGATAAAGAGTTGTCCATCAACTGAGTCTATTAGAGAGAGGCACAGGTTTCAGAGCTATATAGATACCTCCATACAAGAACGAACCCAGTGAGTGGTTACATATGCACTCTTGGCAGTACTAGTGAGCCGGGACGGTACACCATGACGTTCCACAATGAAGTGCACATTCTTCTTGTTTTGATCAGCAACAACCTCTCCACCACATTCATTAATCCAAAGCACTATCTCCGGTCTCTGAGGAACACACATATAATGTCAAAATTCAAAACTAATGGAAGGCCAACAGTGGCAGGTAATTCCTAAGAATGGAACCATGTTATAAGTACCGATAAGATAACAATAAATTGCTAAGAAAAATATTACTCCCTCCACCCCATGAGATAGTCTTACGAGTTATGACGATTTCCACACAGTTTAACAAAACACAATCATTATTGTTGAGAAGGTAAAAAGTACTGTAAATTAATTATTAATTTATTCAAACGACTCTATTCCATTGGTTGTCATGTACATTTAATATTTTAGTTTGGTCTTGTTTGGATGCTAGCGGATTGTTATAAAATTAGCGGATTGAACCTCATTTAAAGGTTTGACCGGTCAAATCCGCTAATTAACTTGTTTGGTAAAAAGCTTATTTGATTAGATTTTTGAGCCCAAAACACTAATTCTGAAAAATTGTTCTGAGAAGAGAGGACGTAAACACTAATTTCCAAAATAGTTATACAATCCGCTATTTACCAAACAGTTATATTTACAAACACCTAATATAATCCACTAGTCAGTCCGCTATCAACTATCCGCTAATTGCCAAACAAGGCCTTTAAGTAACAGGACTATATCTTTGGGACACCTTAAATGGAAACATGGATTATCTTTTTGTGATGGGGGTTTGTAGCTAAACTTGGGTAAGTAATTGATTGACATCTTGCCAAATTATTACCTAACCTGGGGAATAATTGATTAAGATCTTACCATATTAGTAACAGAACTGGAGAAATGATATACTGCAAAATTTCATAATTTTTCATACCTAATTTAGGTGCACAAAGTTATGACTACTATATAAATAAGAAGGTTATGAACAGTGGAGGCATGTAAAATCTATCCTCTGTAATTCAACAATTTTGGCTCGGATAGGAGACTCACATTCAGGGATTTTTGAAAACTAAGTGTATGACAACTTTAATATTTTTAGAGTCCGAAAGCGAACATGGAGCACAAACAAATGCTAACTACACTTACTTGTTCTTGGGGAAAAGAGACTGAAAAACAGAAGAGCTTCCCTTTAAATATGGTTGAGGATTTTATATGCTTATTTCCATTGCTCAATCCGCTTTGCACTTTCGGCTTAACATCCTTCAAACCTAAAGACATAAAATAAACCTGATAAGTATGGGGGCTGCTAGTTGCGATGAATTCTTTGTTCTTACCAGATGACACTTCACATTCAGAATTCTCGGCCATCACGACGTTTTCCACAGTCTGAGAAATGGAGGCCTTTCCCCCATGCCTCGAACCAATCATGCTTGTTGCAGTTGCTTTATTGGAAGTTACAGAATCTAGAGATAAGGTAAAGATATGATATCATTAGAATTGCCAAATGGAGATAAAAAATCATATTTAGCCCAAATAATAGTTCAAAGTCCAAACAAATGCCTTTCTCAGGGTTAAATGAGTACCTTTCGGAAGAAGCAAATCATAAGCAATGTGGCTGTGATGTACAGGAACCTCTTTCTTTTTGGAAGTACATTCTTCTAGCCAAGTTGTTTTAACAATATAAATTATTCCTAGAGATGCAAGGCTTCTTACTTCCTTGATTTCACTGCAGAACCGTTTAGCAAGTTAGACAATATTAGTTATTGTGTACCTGTCAGTGTTAGCACGATATTCGACTTGATGCAGTCCCTCATGGTAAGGAAACATATGGAGAACTATCAGAGGACTTCAAGAATTGATGTCATAAACTTATTTAGGCAGATAATAGATTTGAACAAGAAGCCAATGCATATGCTAAATTTCTTACATCTCTGATGGATTTCCAACTATAATATGCGTCAATTTCTCATTGAACGACATATAACGAGAACCACCGCCTTGACGAACCATGTCAACTAGCTTCCGTAATTCAGAAGTTTCGAAACCTACAAGTAGGATTCTGCACTCAGACAAGTATAAGTCATCATCCTCACATTCAGAGTCATTAGCAATGCAACGGGAAACATCAGGATCGTGTGTGGGCTCATCAGCAGGTGGAACATCCCCAACTTTAGGTAATGGAGGAACCCCAAAAAATGTCGAACACATATTTGACAAGGGAACTTCAAGATCAGGTTCCATATCCTGAGCAGGACAAGTGGTTTCCGAATCCAAGGCAGAGGCCATTGATGATGAGCCATATTGTGGATTTCTGATAACTTTGCCTTGACTATTTTGCTCCGATATCTTAAAACCACTCACAGAGGATGCAACAATACCTTGAACAGGGTAGGATTCTTCACTTAGGCATGCTATTTATCCACATGTCCAACAAATATCCCGAAAATCACACACAAAAAGAAAGGAGAAGAAAAGGTTAGGAATCATATAAAAGTTACTCCCAGATGAAAAATAGTACAGAGTAAAAAAAATGAAGCAGAGACATTGCAGAACATTTACATGATTACTACCTCTCCTGGCAACAGACTGATGAAACCATTTCCGGTTAACTATATATATGTGACCCCATCTTTTAGCAACCTTAAATTTATCACCTTCAGGAGCGTACCAAAAAATTAAGGAAACCAAAGAATATAATCAAACAGTTAGTACATAATCAGAATACAACAGAGCCAAATTCATAATTATAAAATCCATCAAGTGAAAGAGCAACAAATTCGAGCTAATACACCTGAATGTCCCTTTTTGCGAGGAATGACTGCAACGAACTTAAGTCATTAATTGTTGCAGCAACAAACTTAAGTCATTAATTGTCGCATTAATTTTGTAGTCATCAATAGGTTGAATGGATGATTTATCCTTTATACAGTAATGCTGAACTAACACGCAAAATCATGCTAGTAGGTAAATTAATGACCCAAAAAAGAAAACAGAAAGGATATATCGCAAACTAAATGTGAGCATCTCTTGGTAAGTTCAGCAGAATACTTGCCACCATTTTGCATCACAAGCTTCTCCATTTCCTTACGTTCATCTACAAATATATATGTAAACCTTTAAAACAAATTTATCAGATTGCCAAAAATAAGGAACCGAACGCCATTTTCTCAACCTGCTGGGATTCCACTGACGCATACTGTTAATCCAGAAAAAGGAAGAACCTTGTAAGGCTCCTGGGGAACTACACGATGCTCTTTCCAACACTGATGAAGCCAATTTTTGGTGACAATTGGTATTTTGCGATGGTTTAGAGCCCACTGCAACAGTTTCAAAGAGGAATAAGGAGAGAAAGAAAAAGACAACTTAGGATGCTGATATGCAAAATGAACGGTGAATATTTATTCGTCCTCCATTCAGGAGTATTTTTCCTCCACAGATTTTGCTCATCTCATTTTCTTTTATAGAGTAGTGACAGATGATACAGAAATGCAGCACATAGAATGGCTCTTTCTAACAAGTCTATTTTTGGCAAAATTCAGTCCCCAAACACAAAGCACGAGTCTTATCACTATGAACCAAATTGAAGCAACTGAACATACCTCAAAGGCTTCCTGGGATAAAATGTGATCTTAATACATACTAAGCTTGAACTAGAACTCTCGCATTCCCAAAAGAACTTTATCCTATTATTACTCTTATAACTCAAAGGACAATGCAGACAGTATTACTAGTGAAGCAACTATCGTAACTGCTGATGCAACAAGCTGCAACTACATCATGAAATATACCTTTTGAAGGATACTAAAATAAATGTACCGGTAGAGGGGTGAAAGAAGGACAGGGCGAGTCCAAAGGGACTAATGAACATGCATTATAAGTTATATCATCTTACTAACTAAACCAAAATTTATTCATTTATATACAGAGCTTAGTCTTAAGTGTAATATCTGAATAAAGTCAAATAATCAAGCATGAGTTATTGGTTTTGTCATCTCTCCATGCCGAAAGTTCTTCCTATAATAAGCAACATATGATTAAGTGATTGAATTTGGTACATATACATGTATGCAAAACCTGGCACTTAAAAATAAAGTGCAGAATGGAGATACCTTGTATTTTTGAGCCAGAACATCCTTTGCAATAACAAAAGTAACATCCGGTGAAGCTTTTGTATGCAACACCCCTCCCATTGCAGCGATCATCTTTGCAATATCAGCCTTCAAGTGGCAATCAAATGTTATCACAAGGTGGTCTAATTGAAAACACGGAGAGAGAGAGAGAGAGAGAGAGAGAGAGAGAGAGAGAGAGAGAGTTGAGAGAAAAATATATGTATAAACGACCCCAATCTGACTGAGCAAACAATATTAACAAGATATCATCACAATAACATCCTATCGCCTTGAGACCCTAGACCCAGGTGATGATTTCATAGCAAGTTCAGATAAAGGAAGAAAAATGACAAGTTTCCAAGCATACTACGCCTATTTAAGCAGTTTCATAACATGCATAATTAAGGTCAGTATTTTCTCATTGTTCTGGCAGCACTCTATTAAAAGATCTAAGAAATGTGAAAACATAAAGCAAATAAAACGATCAGCTCTGAAATAACTGCTGGCAACTGAAGACATGAAGAGGCTCGTTGTCATTAGGTAGACAACTCATCATCAGATGTAGGGAGCAATATGGAGCATTGCCACAGCCAACAAATTAAACTTTCAATCAATCAAAGAAGCTCAAACTAACCGGAACGATGTGGCATACTTTATTCTTTAGAAAAATGAAACATTAGGCCAAATTATTAGTTTTTTCAACTATAAGTGGTGCCATCAAGACAAAAGCAAAGTCTCCGCCCTTTTTAACTTCTCGATATAGAAGTTTCATAACCAGAGGTAAATAAAAATTGTTATGCTAGCAAGGGGATATCGCCTACACTTGAACTTAAGAGCTTACACGAGAATATCAAGATTATCATAAAGTGTGATTTATAATTAGTTGAGAAGAAACAAAGAGGTTTCTTAAATCGCATTCTTCATTCCACAAGTCAGAAACATGGAGTAGCTAACAAGCAGCATACCTTTTCATCCTTCTCAAAACCTGATGCAAGTACGTTAACGCCATCCATTGCAAGGCAACAAGTAAAACCTTGATTAGGCAGCACTCTGTGTTCTTTTGCACATGTGAACACACACTGCGGACCTGGCTACAAGGAACTTTCAGCTAACCAAAACAGTGGATGATAGTACTTGTATCGGTATATATTGAAACATAAAAATAAATAAGGCAGAATGCAAAAAGCACTATATTAAAATGAATGTTCAAATTAACAGAGCTCATGAAGATAGGATTTAAAAAGTTAATTTACTATCTTCTAAGATTAGTTTTAGGTTTCTTTTCCCCTTAAGTTGTTTTTGTCTCTTTTATACTTACACACACATACACATAAATATATATTCATAATATGTTTCAGATCGGCTGGTAGTTCTATTTCGATAGTAATTTAATCCTATAAGTTGTTGGTTTGTTATAACTTTTAGGTGGTTGAATACCGAATAAAATATGAAGTGTCACTCTTTAATGTCAATATCTTTCTGATATTTATATATACACCAATGGTAGTAGTTTGGTTGTTCTTGTGATTGATTGCTTCTTACCTGTCACAAGGTAATGTAATTTCAGCCTAACCACTACAAGCAATAACAAGTTCCACCATATGAGTGCTCTATTAGCAATAACAATTTCAGCCTAACCATTACTAGCGCCTTTTCGCACCTATCACCTCTAATAAAGTCAAAGAAAGATTAAACAAATTAAGCTTTTCATGCAAGCACCACCCAGATAGAATAAATGGCTTCTAATTCTTCTCTGTGAAATTTTAAATGTTATATTGGTTAACATAATACATAGCATCAAAAGTTCCATCGTCAATCAATTACTTAACTACGCATCGTTCCTTTCAAGTTCTAGTTCATAGCTATTTTCTCACAGAAACATAAATACTGGTAGCTGGTTATGCTAGAGTTCTTAATGCCTTTGTTCGTGAATCTATGTTATATCCATCACGCAGAAACACCCAGTAACCATCATCTTCATTTAAGTTTGGAGAACCTTTTATCAACAATAAACTCTAAGTTCCAGCATAATCATACAAGCAGCAAACTGCTTCTCCATCCAAAGCTAAATTGCGGTGTCTCAACTAATTAAGTTCAAAAACTCGTTCAAATTCAGAACAAACTGAACTTAAGTACTAGGCCAAATTCAAGATAAAATAAAATGAAATGAAAAATTAACATACCGATCAGATTACAGCCTTTCGATCGAAGATCATCAAACTTTTCCTGCAAAATCCAGGCTTCAGATAAATTAACCGGCTAATAAAGACAAGAAGCGTCCAATAAGATTCAAAGGGAGCTCCAGCTCAAAAATCCCCCAAAATGTGAAGAGAGTAGGTGTGAGTCCGTACATGATCGGGTGAGGCGATGACGTGATAATCGTTGGGCCCATTGCGCGAAGGGTCGCAGCAGAGGAAAACTTGGGCGCCGTTGAGCCTCAACGCGTCGTGAAGCGCGTCAAAGAGCTCCGGCGGGACCAAGTTCCGCGACATGAAAACGTTTGATCCTGCGAAGACTTTTGCCGCCATCTACGAAGTACTGCTGCTGCTTGCAGGTTCTTTCACTGCGTGTGCGGAGGTCAGATGGTGTGAGCAATTTTTCCGGTTAGAATTTTTCGATTGAGGAGTTAGGGTTGCTTTTCGCTGCAAATGAAGCGAAGTTATTTAACAAGCGCGGGAAATGTTTTACCCTTTAAAAAAAAAGGCTGTCAAAACGACCCCTAGCAAGCCAAAGCCCGCCAATTGGGCCGAGCCGGGCTGGTCTGTCATCTTGGCGGGCCTATGAAATATAGGTCCAACCCATCCTCATCTCGGGCCAGCCAGCTATTTTTTTTTTTAACAAATCTTAAGTTTTGGAAAATTTTTATGTATACTTATCGTTTTTTAAGTAATTGTAATATTACCATCCAAACCAATAAAATTGTGTATATACCTAAGAGATAAAAAGTAATTATATTTATGCCTAAAACAGTTACAAGTAAGGTGTACAACCATTCCATATTTGTAGCGCACAATTTAAGTATTCAAGATGGAAAGATATTATATTTGAATTTAAATTTATAATCATCGTTGAAACATACAGAAAAGAAAAAGGAAACACGCCGAAAATATACTGAACATGCGTCAGCACGACCCCGACGAGCAGCGTCCCCAGGATGTGAGATTGCATCCTGACTTTAAATCTTTAATGACAGAATATACCGAAAATATACTGATAATATACTGTCGAACGTCTTCCTGTAAATGTCATGCATAAATATACTGATAATATACCAGAAATTTTTAACAGACAGGTGTATGGAATGATTATATCTGTACATATACTTTACATCCTAACATATACTGTTCATATACCACAATACAGAAAAAGTCTGGTTCATATATGGAATGATTATATCTCTAAAATAATATGAACAACTTTGATCGACAGGTGCATCCCATAATTGTGTTTGGAGTGAAAAATCATGTTTTCATGTAATAGAAGAACAAAAAAGAAAAAATATAATAGATAGAGAGGTATATTTCTTGATCGGAATCATGTTTTCATGTAATATATTTGGAGTGGGAAATCATGTTTTCATATATACTGTACATATACTGCACTCGTCAGAAGGAAGCAAAGTCATATATACTGTACATATACTTACATATACTCTAATCCAATGTCTACAAATTTCAACGTAATGACTAATCTACACACAGTCCAAAACCCAAAAAAATCGAAGCAAAATTCAAATTTTCTGCAACCAACCATTCATCTCCCCCGATTGTGGAGACGCCAAAACCCTCTTTAGAGGACGCAGTCGCCGGCGGTAATTGAGGAAATCATGCTCCGGAATATATTCATCTTCTCTCTCGTCGACTCCATAGAAAAAGATTTCGCATCGCCTACATGTAGATGACGACCGCGGGGATGGCTCGGTAGATGATCTCGTCGAGGGAGTAGGACTCGGTGGAGGGCGGCGTTGAAGGGGACTCGGTGTAGATGTGATGTAGGGAAGCGTACGAATGGGAAAGATAAACAAACGAGATACTCTCTCGATAAAACTCACAATCTCATTTTTCATTCAATAATCAACTAATGAAAATAAACTAGAGGGAGTCCTTTATATAAGGCTCCTAACCCTAGACCTAACTTGTCCAACAAGACAAGAGCTCTTATTAAATATTAAACAATTCATAACTTATTCTCTAAGATATTTAATAATAATAATAATAATAATAATAGATATGTCTACACCATTCTCCCCCGGTTGAGCAGGATTCGCCCTCGAATCCGACCCGTTCCCGTTGGAGACGTCCTCAAGACAGCAACAGCCCGAACGTTTTCCCCAATCGAACACGAAGGTTGAAAGTCGTCCAACAATCTCGAAGGTAAACATAATCTCGGTCAAGGATTCAACTGCCGCAAAGTCACATGTACACGACACCTGACACAAAGCCCACACAACCGAATGAACACAAAACAGACTACATCGTTCACCGCGCATAAATCTATAACTACGGCCAAGCATCCCGGTGTTGGGAGACTTCGGGAACAACAATCGAAAAATGGCCCACCAGTTATGGAGTCTCGGCTTCGGCTCCGAAAAACCATCTTTGGCTAAAATACTCAAAAAATCGGGTGTGAATGACGGCTGCCCATTCGAAGACTCAACAGTTGCGACGTCCCACGCCGGACCCATATTACTGCAAAAATATGTCTTCGTCACCGAAGGCTCTTCATCAAAAATTGGCGGACCGTCGTAGATATCGCACGTGTCGGGCTCAAAATTCAGGTAATCTATAAACTCGAAGTCAAAGCCTGTTTGTGGCTGTTCAGGCCCAAAATAAGGATTAATTCATCCTTCCCCTGAGCCCAATAAATTGAATTGGGCGCAGGCCCAAAAACGACATCACCCTCACAAGCCCAAAAAATGCTTTTGTGAGGCCCATAAATGCAACTGGAGTCGTCTCTTTCACACGCCCAAAATCCGCCTCCATGTACGAAACTACCTCCAGCCCGCCGCTGCTCGCGAACTTGGGGCTGACCTGTGGTTTCGTCTCCTCGCCATGGTGGTCGATTTGCCAACGGGTTAGCCGACCAGGTAAAGTCACCATCCTTGATGCCGTTTAGAGGTGGCGGGGATCGCTGCCGGGGCGCCCCGACATGGCTGCGTCCCCCACAACTGCCTCTGTCTCCCCCGCTAAAGCCACGGCCCACAGCCTCATCGCGGTTCGTCTGCAATTCCAAAACAATCACGTTGTTCAGCGTCAAATGCACATCCTCGATCTCCGTCGAAAGATCGGCAAACCAATCCGTGAAACGCACGTCCAATTGTTCAAATCGGTAGTCGATCTGTTGAAACCGATTGTTGAAGGTTGCGTCACGTCGTTCGTCTGCGGCATCTTCTCGTCCCGGCGACATCGCGAATCGTACTGAGTGCTGATACCAACTGATGTAGGGAAGCGTATGAATGGGAAAGATAAACAAACGAGATACTCTCTCGATAAAACTCACAATCTCATTTTTCATTCAATAATCAACTAATGAAAATAAACTAGAGGGAGTCCTTTATATAAGGCTCCTAACCCTAGACCTAACTTGTCCAACAAGACAAGAGCTCTATTAAACAATTCATAACTTATTCTCTAAGATATCTAATAATAATAATAATAATAATAATAATAATAATAATAATAATAATAATAATAATAATAATAGATATGTCTACACCAAGATGTCCTCTTGATTTTTTGCACTGAATCGGTAGCGACCCGCATAAATTGTCGTTGTCCTAAATCGCACTTGCCACGATTTTCGAGAATTCTGGGGGGATAGGCTTCAAAGGGAGCCTAGGAGAAATATACTCGCCATCTCCGAATCAAAAGTTACACCATCTCTCCCAAGTCCCACCTGCACATCTTCTCGTTTTTCTTTTTTTTTTTTTAATGACAAGGAACAAGCGCCATCATATATGCGACCTCCGACCTCCAAATCAGCGGTGGCTCTCTTATTTTTCCGCACCGAATCAGCGTCCCTCTTGATTTTCCGCACTGAATTAGTGGTGGCCCCCGGCCCGTATAGAGGTTTTTCTTGGCCATTGAACTAGGTTGGGACTTTTGTCTTGATTTTTCGAGTAGAAATTGGGACTTTTATCCCCGCACCGGATTAGCGGTTTGTCTTGATTTTCCGAGTAGAAATTGGCACTTTTGTCCTGGACATTGAACTAGGTTGGGGGAATCGAATAAAGGTTTTTTCTGATGAAGATGGTGAACGTGGGGGCCGTGGTTTTTTTTTTTCTGCAGAATGATAAGATCATAAGAGTATCTTTTTTCTGGAGTTGTAGTAGCATTTAATTTGGGATAAAAATCCTTAATTGTGAGTTAATTATATCAAATTAAATTTGCCCAGAATTTGCCATGTAACAGTTGTTATTACCTCTTAGGTATAATTGCAAATTCTTTTGGTTGATTTGGTATTATTATAAATAAGAATATACTAGGTGTATTAATGTAATATAGTTAATGTGCTAAAGTAAGGGGTGCAAATTCCTCTTAAGTTCTTGGATCAAATTCTAGCCCATATTTTTCAGCCCACGCTTTAATTTAAAGACACCCTGTGAACTTTTTCAAAATTGGTTTACATTTTGATCATACCATTTCATTGTTTCCTTAGAGGGTATTTTTGTTTCCTACTTATACGTTCCTAATTACAGTAATATGTTTTTTTTTTTTTTTACAGTTATTTTTAATTTTTTTCTCTCTCTTCTTTCTTTTTATTTTACACGTTTCTTTCTTCTCTCCACAAATAACCAGTTTCCTCCTTTCTCCAATCACTTTCTCCATTTTTTTCTCTCTTTCCGATTGTGCCATTTTTGGAATTCTGTATGTTCGATAACTTTAATGGAATTCATTTTTATAAATGAAACGGTTACGTCTTTTGGCCTACCAAATATGGCCCATATTTTACAAGCCCATGTTTTTCCAAATCCCTTGCAGGTCGATAAAGCTTAATATGAACAACCAAATACAAGAAAACTCTCAGGCTCCGTTTGTTTTGAGGGATTTGAAATCCCTTGATTTCAAAATTTTTGAAATATAAATTTTTTTACTTGCACACTCCTTAAATGGATGTGTTGAAAATATTATAAATACATTGTCTAGCTCGCACCGATGGTGTTGACTCGCGGTGGTGATGAACCTAATTGGTCGCGGATGGCGTGGTCGTCAACAGTGAATTTCAAATGACTAGGTTTGAGGAATCATTTCAAATTCTTCAAAATAATGATTACAAAACATGTAGCATGAATTTGAAATCCTCAAACTTCCATTATCATCTCAACATGCATGAGCATTTGAACTTGTAAATTTGAAATCTATGGATTTCAAATCCCTCAGTAAGTCCCTCAAGACACATGGAGCCTTAAATTACTTCCCAATACCAACAGCAGCAGAAAAAAATTCTTCATCCCAATACCTTCAAATTGCTTCCTCGGTTGTTATCCTCAACTTCGTCCCTCCCGGCGGCGGCAATCTGTGAGACTCAGTGTTGAAGGTTAGCGCGGGGGCCGGCGGCGATTAAGACTAGCGCGGGGGGTCGGCGACTGAGTACCCGGTGACGGAGCACGGAGAGGGCGAATGGCGGCAAACGAACTGAGGATGGAGGCGATTTTTTGTTCGGTGGAGTTTGGACGATTAGGTTTGTTGAGTTGAGGCTTGACTGATCAGGGTTGAGGCACGAACGGACAAAATGAGGTTGAGGAGCTTGAGGAATTTTGGTCTTTATATTTTTATTATTATTTATTTATTTATTATTTAATAATTAACGGGCCAACCCACGGGCTAGCCCGGCCTGCGTTAGGCTGCGGCCCGCTCGGGCTGAGCCGTTCAGGCCCGCTTCCCAGCGGGCCTAGAAAATCCCAGTCCAACCCGTCCCTTGGGCGATGCGGGGCGGGCCGGCCCGCTGGCTTTAGCCCGTTTTGACAGCTCTAGTTTGGCCATTTGTAGGGTGGCATGTACGGGTTTGTAACTAGATGGTGTGGCAAAACTATGAGCAAAGGAAAATGCTAAAGTCCCGGGGCCATTCCTAATAAAAATAAAAATAAAAAACTCCAATGAAAAATTGCCACGTCAGTATTTATGGATTATATCTAAGGGTCTGTATCAAACTAAAACATCCAATGATTAATATTAAGACAACAGAATCATACCGTGACGGGACTGTAGCCATCCTCATAAGCAAATTTTAGTAAGCAGGTGTTGACTGGTTTAATAATACAAAATTCACAGGTTTGGCTGTTTGGGTTTGAGTTTTCTATCCACATTAAATGTAATTTTATCAACTCAAAGTTTATAATCTCCTTTTGCATTTTTCAACATGTCATATCATTAAAAATCTCGTTTTACTTTTACACTCATAAACATCCAGTAATAAGAACTCTCATAAACTTACTGTTTAATGGGTTCCATATGCTCCCACTCCTTCTCCAATATCTTTTTGTTTTTATTTTTAATATTATTCAATGAGGTTTAGTGGAGGTTTACATATGCAATGCTGTTTTAAACAATGTAAACTTTAAACCTATACAGTTTAGCCAGAAATGCTATGGAGCCATCGGATGGTTCCCTTATGGAGCCATCCATAACTTTATATATTGACACGTGTCCAATGTGTATTTATTGCAAGACACGTGTCAATACATCATTTGTGGATAACTATGAATGACTCCATAAGCCGAGCCATCCAATGGCTCCGTAGCAAAACCGACAGTTTAGCGGTAAAAACTCAAGAGTGAGGTTTATAAACCTCAACTAAAACCTCCGTTAAATATGTTATAATCAGAGCATCTTTAGGGGTAACTTTAACAACAGGTTCTGAGAGAGGTTTAGAATTGTAAATCTTGAGATTTATTTACTAAGTGGAGAGGTTTAAAGTTTGAATTTAATTTTTTCCCATTTGTCGTTTCACCATAAGAAAAATCTGATGTTTTGTCTGGTTTTTTCTCTGATGACGAAAAGTTCGCTTATCTAGTTATTTTCGACGTTTCTTGATTATGTAGGAAAACAACCTCAAGTTGTATTTTCTAATCAATCAAACTATGATAAATGCTATTGATTATAAGTGTTCACAAATTTGCATCATAATTTATGTCAATGGCACGTCAATCAAAATGTTTCATTTAGGTAGTTGTTGATTCAGAGTTTAAGAAATATTGACATAAATGCATGACCTATCTTGATTTTGTAGTTGAGTTTGTGGCTACATGAAAGCTAATGATTGGGCAATACAATCTTGGTGTGGTTAAAAGGATGTATAAATGGAGAAAGAGATTGGATTAGTAATGAGGTCTTGTAGATGCTTCAACGAGTGGAATAACAAACAATGTTCTCAAAGATATGGGCAATAAAGCCATTACATTGCATCAATTTGTTTTGAACAAATTTTGTGCAAGTCTTCCGACCAGTTCAAGAACCGAGGTAACAAATCGTGATATGAAAGATATGGGTAATAAGGTCTTTACACTGCATCAATTTTTTTTGAAACTATAAACAAGTCTAACATAAATGGAGGATAAGAAAGACGATGATACCCATTATAGCCACTGGAGGCCGAGCCAAACAGTTAAAAATATTCTTTATTGTCGCACACCGCTGAAGTGTATACTTTCTCAGTATATAAGATATTTGAGCGGGAATTTGTTAAGTATTTGGATATTGCATTTACTGAGCACGATGATATTGGTAATTGAAATTTGGTGAGTATTAGAATTTCTCTTTAAACTCAGTAAACAATGAATGTTCACAAGTATTGCGGAAGCCAATTAACCATAAAATGAACCTTCAGGAGAGCATCTCACTCCTCATCGGAACTCTTTTATTAAATTGGTGTTTGTCCAAATGTACAACTTGGATTTACAGCGAAGACTCCGTCTTCCTAACCTAATTCGTACTTCATTTCTATTGCAACAAGATGGACTTTACCGAGGCTAAGAATGGACCTATCTAACTACTTTTCCAGCCACTACGTTGACTTGGTTTGCATACAGTATACACGGATCCCTCCGAACAAGGAATGGTGTTTGTCCCAAGCACCAAATAAGTGATTACAGAACAAGTGCCTCAAATCAGAGTTCAACTCAATCTAATTTCGTCACCAATAAAATGGAAATGAAACTGCTGATAAAACTCACTCAACGCTCTAAGAATTTATGTAAGTGAGTAAAACAAAGCCTCCCAACTAAACACAACTCAGTACATGGTACCTCACCAGAATTTATTCCCGTTAGTTCTACCACTCACAAACATATGAGCCCCCACCGCCATAGTGCACGCATACTCTAATAAGGTTTCTAGCCATTTGAGTGTAATGTTTAAAAGGAAAAAAATTAAGAGACAAATAAGTTTAATAAAAAAAATTAAAACGAAAAAAAAGTGTAATAGATTTGAGAATTTAAAAAAATTAAAAAAAATGCAATAGAATTAAAAAAAAANGGAAAAAAAAAAAAGAAGAAGAAGTGACGACCCATACGATTTATGATAAAAAAATCCACATCTCGCGTGTTTAATTTACATGAAAAAAAGAGTCAATTAATGCAGTGTGTAATTATGTAAACCATATGCAAAATATGATTAAAACAATAATTAACTATACGATCAGTTTGGATATGCAATAATTAAATATGAAAAATAGTTTCGAATATCATAAATTATGCTGTGGTTTAGGATATGCGATTATAAAAATATGCGAAAGTATTCCGCATAATAATTAACTATGCATTCGATGAGAATGACAAAATCTCGTATAGTTTTTGTTTATTTGAATATGCGATTATAATATGGCATAACATTTTGTGTGGGATGAGGAAAGAAAAGTTTTTTGATAGAAAAATATAAATGTATATAATATTTATAAAAGGAAGAGTATGTATATAATATTACAAGATATGACCAAAAACAAAAATACAAAAAATACAAAACTTGCCACGTTTATGTAATGTAACAACTTAAAAAGCTGACAGTCTCTTGTTTTCATTGCAACTCTCACCATCACAATTCGCACCAACTCAGCAACAATCCAAGGTGCCTTTTTGTTTTGTTTTGGTCACACAATACTTGTTTGGATTTGTTTTGTGTTGAAGAATATACCAAAGTTTGGCTACCTCCGAAATTCCCCATCCACTAGTGATAGGGACAAATGACAAATTTTAGTGGATAATCAATCACTTATATTATTTCGGCCATCCACTAGTGATAGGAACAAATGACAAATTTTAGTAGATAATCAAACACTTAATTCCGCGCGTAGTCTCTGGATTTCACCAAATTATCAACCGCTAAAAAGGGTCAAAGACTATCGCTTCAATTTGTCAATACACACGAAAACCATTCATGGAAAAGTCCTTCAAGACAAGTACGTTTTTTAATGGCCGGTTGGTCTCTCTTAGTATTTTTCGCAGGGATTTACTGTGGGTTTTCGAGCTTAATTGAAAAACCCGTTTTGGGAAATTTGAGTTTTTTTTTTATTTTATTTTTTTTGGTTGATTCAAGAAGTTGGCTCTCTACTGTTGCAGGTGGGTGAGTTTCTTGATTTTGTTCTGTGCTTGTTTTGAGTATCTCCGGTTTGGTTTGCACGTGGCATTTGGGTTTCGATGTTGTATTGGGTTGGAATTAAATGTGTTGGTATGGTTGATATTTCATGATTAAGTGGTAACTTGTGTTTAAAGCAACAATTTTTGACAAGAAGAAAGGCAAAGTGAAACTTTTTCATCCGATTGTTCAGCTATATTAACATAATTTCAAGGGAAGCTCCTTTCTTCTTTTTCCTTTTTAAATATAATCTGTATATGTGTGTTGTGTTGTTTTCAAAGCCAGAAGACAAGAGAAACATTTGGATGGCCAAAGCAAATTGGACATGGGAAAGTTCTGAATTTTGGAAGTTAATTTTTCATTCTCAAGAGGTTTCACTTTCAAGTGCAAAAACAATAAACTAGAGTTCCTGAAAAAAAATGCCCAATTTCATTATATTGCTAACCATAACATTATTATATAACTTATGTTCTAATTCCCCTTTCTTCCCAATCATTTCAGATCGAAGAATTTGCCATTATTCGCATGAAAAAATGGTCCCGGAAGAGGGCTCATCCTCTTCAACCCCATTCAGTTCAGAAAAATCCCCAAAATGCCCTCAGCCAACAGAGATGAAATCCGAGGAGAGAGGCCTCTGTCTCGTTCACCTTCTCATCGCATGCGCCAATCACGTGGCCTCTAACAACCTCGAAAACGCTAACGTGAGCCTCGACTACATTTCCCGTCTCGCCTCCATTAATGGCGACACGATGCAGAGGATCTCAGCCCACTTTGCAGAGGCCCTCGCTGACCGTATGCTCAGAATCTGGCCCGGGCTTCACCGGGCCCTCACCTCGGCCCGTATAACTTCCTCTGAGGAAGAAATCCAGGCCAGGAATCTTTTCTTCGATCTCTGCCCTTTTCTAAAGGTCTCGCAATTAATCACAAACCAAGCAATTCTGGAAGCCATGGAAGGTGAGAAAGTTGTTCACGTGATCGACCTTGACTGTTTCGAGCCTTCTCAGTGGGTCGGGCTTATTCGGGCCCTGAGCAATCGGCCCGAAGGCCCGCCCCATTTAAAGATCACGGGCCTTCAACAGAACAAAGGAGTTTTGGACAGAGTCGCGTTCAGGTTGAATGAAGAAGCCGAGAAGTTAGATATCCCCTTTCAGTTTAATCCCATCGTTTGCGAAATTGAAAGTCTCGATTTCGATAGCTTGCACGTCAAGTCTGGAGAAGCTGTTGCCGTGAGTTGTGTATTTCGGCTGCATTCTCTTCTGGCTTCTGACGATGACGTCCAAATGCCTAAAATGACTAACTTTCTAAACGGGCTTTGGGGTCTCTTTCCGAAAATCGTGATGGTGACCGAACAAGAATCGAATCACAACAAGTCGAATTTGATGGATAGAGTTATGGAGGCACTGAATTTTTACGGTGCCCTCTTTGATTGTTTGGAGTGTACTTTGCCTGTTGAGTCTTTAGAGCGGCGGAAGATTGAGAGGAATCTGTATGGGAAGGAAATTAATAACATTGTAGCGTGTGAAAGTGTGGATAGGAAAACGAGACATGAGAAGCTTGAGAAATGGGTTCGTAGGCTCGAGTTTGTCGGTTTTGGTAAGGTGTCGTTGAGCTATGAGGTTATGGTGCAGGCCAGGATATTTTTGCAGAGTTTTAAGTGTAATGGGTATAACTATAGAGTGAGAGAGGAGAATGGTTGTTTCTTTATTTGCTGGCAGGATAAACCGCTTTTCTCGGTTTCGGGTTGGAGATTTAGACATAAGTACAGTTGATGTTTGGTGTTAGAAGCTGATAGTGATAGTTCTTGTTAACTTTCTTTGTATGTGTATATATATGTACAAGGTGTTAGAGCAAGTTTTGTTTGTCCTTTGGTTCAATTGATTTGGGCAGAGAAAGGGTAATGTTAGCATATAGCACACTTCTTGTATGCATTCTGACTTGTAAATTAATGTAATCAGAATTAATTATTTTTAGGCTGAAATTTACTGTAATTTTGTTTCTGGGTGAGACTTTTGTTGTTTCCACAAATTGTATATGACTTGAGCTTGACCAAAGAATATAAATTCCATCTCATATTAACAAAACACACGCACACACATATATATTTTATTAGCTTGAGCACAAACATGTTTTTCCTGCTACTTTGTTTCTATTTTCAATTTTCAAGAAACCGTTTTAACTTTTAAAATGCTCGAGCGCATTAACAGTATGAATAAGAACTCTCTTGTCATAGAAGTTTGAAATGGAAAGGAATCCGTTTTCAATCTTTTCCTTATTTGTGCCTGCAACAGATATCAGTTGCAGGCCTGCATGCCCCCAAAGGAGTTTGCATTTTTTGACTTGTATTACTTTTTCAAAGGCCTCAAATTTCTGAAAGAAATTTCGAGCCTTGAACTGAATTTTTAACCCGAGCCTCAAATTTTAGTTTCAAAAATCACTTTCCGAGCTTTTAAAATGCATTGAGTCGAGAGTTCAAATATGTAAGAAAGTTTTCTAAGTCAAGAACCTTCAGCTAGAAAATTCTTCAAATTGGTAAAGCTAGCAGTTGAAATCAGTTGATGATGATGAACCCATGAATACAATTTTTTTTTCATCAATCCTAGTAGTGTTGATGATGAACTCAAAACTATCAATTTAATAATCAGTTGAAATCCAAATATATATTATCTATATATATTTTACATTTTATACATATTCATAAAATATTATTTTATTTGTAAAAATTTTAAATAGCAACTATAAATATTTTTACATAAAAATGAGTAGAGGTGCCATATTTTTACAGGGGAACTGGAAAGTCTCGATTTCGATATCTTGCACGTCAAGTCTGGAGAAGCTGTTGCCGTGAGTTGTGTTTTTCGACTGCATTCTCTTCCGGCTGATGATCCTAAAATGACTACCTTTCTAGGATATTAGAGCAAGTTTTGTTTGTCCTTTGGTTCAATGGATTTGGGCAGAGAAAGGGTAATTTTCCTACTTAAACATATACAATAGGCAGGGCACACTTCTTGTATGCATTCTGGGGTGTAACTTAATGTAATCAGAATTAATTATTTTTAAGCTCAAATTTACTGTTGTAATTTTGTTTCTAGGTGAGACTTTTGTTGTTCCCACAGATTGTATATGACTTGAGCTTGACAGAAGAAGAAGATCGTTGAAGGTGTCGACGTCGGGTTTTCTTGACGATTCTCACAAAGCTATGTCGACAAAACTTAATGGAAAGGAGTTTGCATTTTTTGACTGGTATCACTTTTTCAAAGGCCTTGACAAGAAACTCCCATTGAGCTTCTTTTGCTTGATCAGTTATGGGGATAAAATTTGTGAAACATTTGTGGAGCTTTTCTTGATTCTGTGCTTCATGGCCTTCTTCTGGATAAATTTGATTCAGTACCAAAGTATTGGTCATATCATCTTGTTCTTTCTGCTGGGACTTGAATAGGGCTCAAGCTCTTGATAAGGTCGTACAAATCAGTATGTGAATATAAATTTTTAGAGCATCTGTAATTGAAAAACTCATTTGGTATTAACCATCACATTTAACGGTAATTCTTTTTCAACAACTCATTCTCAAACTCAAAAAGATATTTTCAAAATATTTTCTTTCACAACATCCTTTACAACTTTTTAATATTGTCCACATATGTAACAATTTTATAAATTAGGCTCTACCAATATTTTGTTTGATAGAGATGTACGTAACATAAATAACTATGAACAAATAATTCTTGAGTATACAAAGTTAAAATAGATATTTAAAAATATGAATTACACTATTCGAGAAAAAAAAATGCATGACTTAGTAAATATTCGTACAAATAAGAATGACATAGTAGTTACAACTCAATATAAAATTCTTACTTTGTAATAAATAAATTATTTTACAGTATATTTGTATAAATATTTTTAAAATATGATAAATATTTCCATGGTTATTGAATTGAATTTATAAACACATTTGAAAATTTTACCATCTTTTTCATAACATTTTATTTCTATAAATAAATTATATGAAAATATTTACATAAATAGTTTTATTTTTTTTTTTTTAATTGGCTTCAAACTCCGCCTATGTTGTCTCAACATAGCAGGTCCCAAGCTCTGGTAAAGGAGGAGAGTTGTGATAGGCTTGGCGAGCCAACGTAAAACCTAGCCGTTCTATGGAGATAAAACACATGAGAAATCCGTTGGGGCGATATCGGAACCCGTATGGTGTCAAATGGGCAAGGGTCGGGTCATCTCCCCCTCGGTGACGCGCCATGTCGTGGTTTGGGCATAGTGTTAAGTGAGCAAGAACCGGGTCGTCATTTTCTTAGTGACGCGCTACATCGGCGCCCGGGTGTAGTGGAAAATGAGCAAGGGTCTTCGCATCTCTCTCGACGGGTGCGAAGGGCAAGGAAGCTAGTCGAACCAACTAGGGACCTTATAGGTAGTTGGAACGTAGGTTCCCTAACGGGTAAACTACGTGAGCTAGTCGATGCAGCTACTAGGAGGCGTGTAAATATCCTATGCGTCCAGGAGACTAAATGGAAGGGACAGAAGGCGAAGGAGGTAGAGGATACTGGCTTCAAGCTTTGGTTCACTGGGGCTTCATCGAGTAGGAATGGTGTAGGCATCTTGATCGATAGAAGCCTTAAGGATGGAGTTGTAGATGTTAGGAGGCAAGACGACCGAATTATCCTAGTCCGATTGGTAGTTGGAGATTTGACCATGAATGTGATCAATGCCTATGCCCCTCAGGTAGGTCTTAGTGAGAGCGCAAAGAGGCAATTCTGGGAGGATCTGGATACCTTGGTTCGTATGGTGCCTGCCAGCGAGAAGCTCTTCGTAGGAGGAGACCTAAACGGTCATGTGGGTGCGACTAATTTAGGTTTCGAGAGAGTGCATGGAGGGTTTGGGTATGGTAGTAGGGACGCGGAGGGGAGGATGTGTTGGACTTTGCGATGGCCTACGACTTGTTGATAGCGAACACCCTCTTTAGGAAGAGGGAATCTCACCTGGTGACCTTCCATAGTGGATGACACTCAAGTCAGATCGACTTTATCCTTGCAAGGAGGGAGGATAGGCGCGCTTGCGTAGATTGCAAGGTGATACCTGGGGAGTGTGTTGTCCCCGAGCATAAGCTGGTGGTTGCTGATTTTCGATTCTGAATACGTGTCCACCAAGACAAATGTGCCAAGACCGTGAGAACGAAGTGGTGGAAGCTTAAAGGGGAAGCGGCGCAGACGTTTAAGGATAGGATACTAGGCGAGGGGCCCTGGGAAGAATAAGAAGATGCAGATGACATGTGGCTAAAGATGGCAACATGTGTACGGAAGGTGACTGCAGAAATACTTGGTGTGAGTAGGGGAGGCAAGCAGGAAGAGAAGGACACTTGGTGGTGGAATGACGAGGTGCAAAGAGCTATTCAGGAGAAGGAGTGTTTCAAGCGTCTCCACCTTGACAAGAGTGCAACCAACATTGAGAGCTATAAAATAGCGAGAAGGGCTGCAAAGTGTGCCGTGAGTGTAGCGAAGGGTCAGGCCTATCATGACCTTTACCAGCGCCTAGGCATGAAGGAGGGGGAGAAGGACATTTATAGGATGGCTAGGATTCGGGAGAGGAAGACAAGGGACATCAACCAAATCAAATGAATCAAGGATGGGTCGGATCGACCACTGGCGAAGGATGGGGAGATCAAGGACAGATGGCGAGAGTACTTCGACAAATTGTTTAATGGGGAGAGTGAGGGTCCTACCCTGGAGTTGGATGACTCATTTGATGATACCAGTAGACGCTTGGTGAGGAGAATTCGGGAGGCAGAGATCAGAGAGGCTATGAAGAGGATGAAGGGAGGTAAAGCAATGGGCCTTGATGGTATCCCCATCGAGGTGTGGAGATGCTTGGGCGCCAGAGCGTTAGTATGGCTAACTAAGCTTTTTAACCTCATTTTTCGGTCAAACAAGATGCTTGATGAATGGAGGAGAAGTACTTTAGTACCGATCTTCAAGAACAAGGGAGATGTTCAAAGCTGTGGTAACTACCGTGAGATTAAGTTGATGAGCCATACGATGAAGCTTTGGAGAGGGTTATCGAGCATCGCCTACGATGAGTGACGAGTGTGACCCAAAACCAATTTGGGTTTATGCCTGGAAGGTCGACCATGGAGGCGATTTTGATTATATGTTTTGTGTTTTTTCAGCACCTACAAAAGCACGCTTTTGAGTTTACACAAACATTTAACGAGTAGTGTTCTATAAATTTGTCCACCTGAAGCCTTATATGGTTTGCTTTACAAAGATCTCCGACATGGACGAGCAAGTTCTCATCAACCGGGACCAATTGTTGGAAATCTTCCGCTCCTTCGACCACAACGACAATGATAAATATTAACGAATATCTCTTATCCGTGCATCGCACGAGATTCGTACTAGTAAACTTATATAACCCTGTATATAAATATGAACACAAAGGAGACAAAATGGAATTGCACAAAAAATTTGCAAGTGCGATTTTGGGAGAGAGAGAACCAATTTTGTGATTGTATTTGCAATTCGACTACAACAAAATTTTCACATTTTTACATTTGAGTATAAGTTTACAGCTCGATTAGAGTTGGCTTTATGCTAAGTTAGATTAAAGTTTGAGTAGCTGCTATGAGTGGTAGTGAATGTCTGCCGTTTCTTATGTTTATATACGAAGAACTCCTTTGCTCAACTCCTGTAATTTGAATTGAATTTGAACCTCCTTTACGTATTAGGCTTCCTTAACAAAAGTTTTACTAGTTTGTAAACTAATATTTATGATTTTTAATGTATATATTGACCTTTCCCTCGCCCTTTCTCGTCCTCTGATAAAGCAGCTCACTCTTTACTACTTTTGACTTCACTGCGCTTCGCTTCTAGTTTGTGTAAAGTGTGTGAAGAAGGCAGATAGACGTTCACTGCCTTAGAACCGGTATCGGCTTTCCAGATACTGAACATTGTAGCGATGATGTTTCTTTTTATAACAGTATGTACAAAGTTAGGTTATGTGCTCAATAACTAGGTATGTACAAAGTTAGGTTATGTACAAACCTAACTTTTTAATGTATATATATGATGTTTCTTTTCATTGAGCTATACATTTTACATAACTAACAATAAGATTACGTGCTCAATGAATTCATATGTTTTTTTTTTCTTCATCACTTACATAGCACAACTTTTAAAATAATACGTATGACAGTATGAGCTTGTAGATTTTTTATTTGAATAAAATTACTAAATAGAAAATACAAATAATATGAGTTGATTATGGACCCCACGAAATTTATATGGTGGGTTCATAATTGTTATATAAATTTTGAAAAGAAANCACAGCAAACATAAATTAAGTCCTTTTTTTTTTAAACCACACTAAAATAATGGACTTGGCATATGCCCTCCACCAAATTTTCAAAACTTTACAACAAAAAAAATCTATGTGGGCTCATGCACATCCACTTGAGCCATTCTGCATAGTTCATAAACTTTCTTTATTCCTTGGCCTCTTTTTTAAATTTTATTCTAACCATTTACAGCCCAAGTTCAATTTTTTCAACAATGGAGGCCATCAGCAGTGGAGAAATAACAGGAAAATAGAGTAAAAACCAAGCATAATAGATTCTCCTTGTGTGCACTTTTGCCCCTCTGATAAGGTTAGATAAATCTATCAACAATTAAACCTTAATGAACTCAAAACTTGTTTCCATGTTTCCTCACACACCAAAGAAAAACCACTCAAGTGTATCAAGTGGTAAGTGCAAGCAGGTGGTACTTTATAATAAGTCACCTATTAGATTTAGATCCAATCTCATACAAGAATCTTATTACATTTCCTTGTCTTTTTCCCCAACTTTGGACTAAAACCATTTTATATTCCAACTGTGTTCGTCAATTTAAATCTCCTGTTACATTTATATATCTTTTGTTGAAGCAATGTTCCATTTACATTGACAATAAACTACTAATATTGCTAGTAACGGTAAAAATTGTTGCCATATATATATATATATATCAGTGTTTGAAATTATTTAAGGCAGAGTAATTGGTGCAAGAGGTATAATTAAGTGTCATTCAACAACCTGGACACATCAAATTGAATAAAAAAAAAATAAAAAAATTGCAAGCAACAATATATATTCTAAATAAAGCTAAAAAAAATCTCTTATGGCTTTTGATGCAAAAACTCAACAATACATCAAGTTGTTCCCACACAATTGAATATGAAAGATCTATTTTTGGTAATGAGTTAGAAAATAATATCTTGAAAATTTATTCTTGTAAGCAAAGCAAAATAAAAAAGGGAATATCTTATTATATATGGTCAATATATTTATTAAGTTTTTTAAAGATATGCAAGATCTTATGTGTTTGTATTTGTTTGTAGGTCTTTCTCTAGCATGGAAATTGGTAAACTCTGACATATATGGAAGAAAAGAGA